CTCAATGACCTTCTCCTTCTTCTTTTGTTCGGTCTTTTTGCTTGCAGCTGGAGCTTTTTTTGGTGGCATTTTGGAAACAATACAGAACTTTTTAGCTCTATAAGTTTATTTCGCCCGTGTGGCTAAATGAAAACAGTTTATAAAGGAAATCAGCAAATTACGCTAACAACTGATTGTCAAAAGTGGACATGCAAAATGTCAAATTTTTGTAAACAAGCCGTATTGCCATTTCAAAAATTTAGAACACGTGAAATTAGGGTAAATGCGCACTTTAGGTAATAAAAGGCACTTCGATTTTGGCGCGCCTCGTGTTTAGACGCTACTGGCTACTGACTAAAAACTTAATTAGACAAATTAAAGAAAAAAGCAAAGCAAAATAATTTTCATCTACCTTGATCTACAGTTATAAAAACATAATATACACATCAGTATATTAATAGATTTTCCTTAATTCGGAGACAACTATTAACTTGCAGGAGCCTATCTCCCGATGGAGGCTAGGTCTAATGCCCGAAGGAAAAAGCTCAAACTCAGAATATTAGATAATTCTAAGAATGCGAAGCTGCGATGTGCTGAACTTTTGATAAAGGGAACTGACACTTCGATGGAATGCGTAGTGAATGTTGCCCCATGGACGGACAACTTCTGAGATACTTCGCCGACCTAAACGGGGTTAGATCGCCGAAACAACAGCCCTTGGTCGGGTGAAACCCGAGTCATTCCGGTACGTAGAACCGGCTGTCGTGGGAATGACATAGACGAGACAGAGCTTCATCTGCCTCGGGAGACACGCACTACACTCGCTCAACTTCGCTCCGGCTACTGCAGCAGGTTAAACTCCTACTTGAGTAGGTTGAATGAGGATGTGCCGAACGAATGTCCGGCATGCGGAGAGACCCCACATGACTCGAACCATCTCTTCGCATGCCCGGAAAACCCGACAACCCTAACGGCCTTGTCCCTGTGGACAGATCCCACAGAAGCTGCACGCTTCCTAGGGTTGCCGTTAGTGGAACTTGACGACAACGACTGAGATACCAACCGATCTGGGCGGGGTTGTTGTAGCCGCTACAACAACAACAACAAC